TGACAGGAAGTGCAAAATACAAAATAGTGATTGATGGATTGATTATATGCCATCAACTCTGGTTTCCATATCTGAGATTCACTGTATCTCTTCTAGCTCTTCCTCCCACCACCAAACCTCCAGTGGCAACTGAATGTTTTACGGTCAACTTCACTGCAACCAATTTGATCTATAGGCCACAGATGGCTGATCCCACATCAAAGGTTTTCAGCTCAACACAACGATTCTTCGTTAATTTGGTAAGAAGATCAATGCATACTTAGTCCAATAGCTCTCAATTTAGGACTTTCATAATATACTCAGCAATAGTATTTTGTTATTGCCAATAAATACGTAGTTTTTTCATTAAACCAAGACAAGTTCTTTTATGTAAATTGCTGAGGAGGCAAATGCATACTTACCCTATTAGCTCTTAACATAAGATTTTCATAAAATAATCAGAAATTGTGTTTTACCACCAGCAATAAATACATCATTTTTCCTTTACACCTAGCTGGGACAGATATTGAAGACCAGCAAGATTGGTCCATATTTGATCAGCTGTAGTTTATCAACATTAAGGTAGGTAATATGGAATGGAGATTTTTTTAATGATACCTAAATGCCCCGTTATGGGGGTGAAAGGATATGGACATCTCGCAGCATCTAGTTATATTTGAGACAACTCATAGTTTGTTTCAGTTCCAGGCTGTAACATATCACATTGAAATAGAAATCTCTAAAAGTCTCTTCGTGCATTTTTATCCCAAATCATTTCTTTGCTTCAATATTGAGTTCCAATCACTGTACTGGAAGCTCCCTGGTTAGCTTCCTTATGGCTTCCCAAAATTAGGTTTGAAGTGGAATTTAAAATTTAGTAACACCAGATTAAAAATATTGACTGAAAAACTCCAAAAAGGTGATAGAACTATGCCCCTGTAATGCAGGGAGCCGTTCAAGAATAAGATCAGCTAGGAAATACCCAGCGGGGATCCTGAATAGTTGAACCAGGGGGAAGAAAAATGCGAGGTGGCACGCTCATAGAACAAACCAGTGTCAACAAAATGGTCAAGGTTGCAATCATTCAGCAGACCTGTATTAATTCTGAACTGGACGCCCTTACCGTTTACTTTTTGGCCTGCCAGGTAGATCCAAGTGCAACATTACCTATGTGAAACCATCCAAAGTCTTCTACAGCTTCTCTGAATATATCTCAAGATGTGTCTTTTCATTCCCAGATCTGTGAATCAGGGTGAGAACACCGGCATAGACAGTGTCTGCTGCTACCGTAAAAATGCCACAGCTCCACCTTTTGATCGAGTGCAGATATATCATAAATTTGTAAATGAGACCAACGGTTTCACCAAGATGGGGAGGTACAGCTTGGACCCAAACAGCCTTTTTGTTAATGGTAAGAAGAAGATGGATTTCTTGACTAAAGAGGTTATGAGGTTGGCTGGAACTGAATCGGTACTCATGTTATGTAACTTAACAGATAGTTCCTCTCTGCAACACCTTGGAGAGATGCCAGAGAGCTACTAGAGTTTCTTTGGCTCTACCAAATTCAGGCTACAAAAATCTAGATTAATTCAAAAAGGCAGCAGTATTTATTAACATGGTCATTTGGAATTTTGCAGTTCAGACATGCTAGCTCTGTTCTTCTGGATGATTTTTTTCTGAAACTGTCCCAGTACTTCTTACAAATAATCATTGGATTAAGTGGACACTTTATGTAGACTTAGTCACAGTGGCCTATTTAAACTAAAGATTGATGCCATTTGGGCATCTTAGGGATGATTTGAAACACTACCATCTGAGATTTGTTGACATGGAATAATTGGAAGTGTGTAGGAGGAATTTATCATATCTTACTTTTTTCATGGTGGACAGTTTGATGGAGACTTCCTATTTTAGTGTACTCTTGTGCCTTCTTTGATGACTCTCTTTCCATTCCTGAAACTCTCTTTCTGTTTCAGATTATCATGAAGCATCACCTCAGACCAGTAAGTACACTTTTCAGAAGTTTCTTCAGCCATTGACTCTAACTGTGGTACACAATCTAAAATGTCCAACCTTGTCCCAAATATTCCAATTGCAAAAAAAGTATAGCACTATGCCCTAGGCTTCTGCCACGAGAGATGGGTGGAAACCACAGGGATGTAGGAGCAGGTTGAATATTAGATTTTCCAGATACTAAAAGGTGTTAACCAGTGCACCATGTCAATCCCCAAAGTGGTCTGTTCAGTTAACATCTTAAAACAGAGAGTGGATACTGATTTCTGATATTCCAACTCTGATTATGACTATTAGAAATTGTTCTACAACACTGAACAAGAAACTGCTTTGTGACTTTATATCCCTTCTTGGGACTTTACAGGCCATGTCCTTCTGCAAAGTAACCCTTTACATTCTTGGGAAGCGCTATCACAGTCCTGAGCAGTCTCCTGTTCTCAAGGCTTAAACCATCAATCTTTCTTTTGCACAACTTGCTTCTCTGCCCCTGCTCGTGCTTCTTGCCTTTTTCTGGATCCACAGCAGATCAAGAATAACAGTTACTTTCAAACTGTGAAAAGCATACACTCGTTCTTAAACTTCTGTTATGCACCACTGTGTTTCTGACAGGAAGTGCAAAATACAAAATAGTGATTGATGGATTGATTATATGCCATCAACTCTGGTTTCCATATCTGAGATTCACTGTATCTCTTCTAGCTCTTCCTCCCACCACCAAACCTCCAGTGGCAACTGAATGTTTTACGGTCAACTTCACTGCAACCAATTTGATCTATAGGCCACAGATGGCTGATCCCACATCAAAGGTTTTCAGCTCAACACAACGATTCTT